AAAATTCGCTCAAAAATTGTGTTAATTTGTTCATAATTACAAATTTGAGTAATCTTACTCAAAATTTTAGTCAAAGTATGTTCCGGGATTTTTGCAGTGAACACATTAATAGAATCTTACCGCAAAATCTTTGACAGATCTCTCCAAAATGCTGCAAGTCGTTGAGTTACGTTCTGGTAAAGTCACACCACCAAGACACAAGCTGGAAATTTAACGAGAATGTGAGCAACGACTCATATAACTTTGTGATTATACAGACCATCATTGAACTCATGGTCTAGTTTCTTCTGAGAACGCAAGTATGTGAGTTGAAATTCTACTCGAGAATCGAAACAACGAATTTCTCGCGTGTCTGTTTAGTGTGAAAAGATTATTTTAATAATTCCCAGCGGGCAAAATGACGTTTATCCAACGTTGAATCAACGTTGGAAATGACCTTCCAGACGTTGGATAGACGTTGAAAAAGGGTTGACTATGCAAATTGGATCGACGTTACTGTTTCGACGTTGAAACAACGTTGAAATTAGGTTGCCAATCTCGTCAACCATAATTCAACGTTGAATCCACGTTAAAACAACGTTGGGATTGGTTCACAAATCGACGTCGTACATTTAACCATGAATGAACGTTAATTCAACGTCTGTTGGCTGCTGTTGAACCAATGTTTGTAAAACAACGTCAGAGCAACGTAGATATTAGGTTGTCGACGTCGCAACCTTTTTTCTACCAAATTTCAACGTTGAAACAACGTCGTGTGCACGGTGGGAACTTACTGTGAGCTTTTCCAGACAAACGTCGTGTATTTCTTGCCCTTCTGCAAAACAAAAATGGAAAGAATCAGTAAATGGAATTCAGGTCCATTGAAGTTACGAGATTCTATCTAGACGAACAAGCTACAAAAGACAAAAAAGTTATCATATTTTTTTCGTTTGATCATGCAAACTCTCGCTTGTCAACTCTCGTGCAACTCTTGTTCTCGCTTGATCAATCAATGAAAGTTGAGGAAACTCTCATTGATGCAAACTGTCGCTTGTCAACTCTCGTGCAACTCTTGTTCTCGCTTGATCAATCAATGAAAGTTGAGGAAACTCTCATTGATGCAAACTGTCGCTTGTCAACTCTCGTGCAACTCTTGTTCTCGCTTGATCAATCAATGAAAGTTGAGGAAACTCTCATTGATGCAAGCACTCGCTTGTCAACTCTCGTGCAACTCTTGTTCTCGTTTGATCAGGGCTAGCAATAAATATTTGAACATACCACACAACCAGTGACAATACTGTCATAGTCAGCTGTAGTACACAAAGGACAAGCCGCTGAGGAGTACACGATAAAGTGGAAACTAAAATACAAGAAAACATATAGTATTTAGAAATTTTGTTGCATTTTCTCTCGCATGCGAACGAGGGAAAATATAATCAGACAGCTGTATGCACAGAATGATATTATATATTACTTTTAATGCTAGCTAGTTTTCCTGGTTTTTATAATAAAGTTTATAATTATGGAAGAAATGGAGGACAAAATATAAGCATTACCTGCAACCATCACAAGTTCCCTCAGAACATTTCTCAGGCACAGCAACTTTTACCTAAATATTGAAATTATATAGGATATGAGATAAGAAGATGTTAGGTGGTAGACATTGCAGAGAAGGTGAGGGAAGCAAGGTTGAGATGGCATGGACACATAATAAGAAGAGATGAAGGACAGCCAGTCAGATACATTACGGAATGAAAATATCAGAAGACGTGGGTGGTAGACATTGGAGAGAAGGTGAGGGAAGCAAGGTTGAGATGGTATGGACACGTAATTAGAAGAGATGAAGGAGAGCTGGTCAGAGACATTACGGAATGAAAATATCAGAAGACGTGGGTGGTAGACATTGCAGAGAAGGTGAGGGAGGCAAGGTTGAGATGGTATGGACACGTAATTAGAAGAGATGAAGGAGAGCTGGTCAGAGACATTATGGAATGAAGAGATCAGAACATGTGGTGTGGTAGACATTGCAGAGAAGGTGAGGGATGTAAGGTTGAGTCGTTGAGATGGTATGGACATGTAATAAGAAGAGATGAAGGAGAGCTGGTCAGAGACATTATGGAATGAAGAAATAAGAAGAAGATGTTAGGTGGTTGACAATGCAGAGAAGGTGAGGGGAGCAAGGTTGAGATGGTATTGACATGCAATAAGAAGAGATGAAAATGACGTTTTCGAATAAAATCATAACAGCTCATTGAAGAATACTGCTCACACTGGACCCCAATATTTGATTGAAATAGCAAACCTCTTTTGCCTTGCGATGCGGATCACACACATTATGTATGATAGTCGATCTTCCTTTTGGGCACGCCTCAGTGAAACTAAGATAAAATAAAAAACGCGTGTTTTGGAACGTGCACAAAACGATATTGCAAACTTTGAGATTTTAAAGCAACGAACGACTCAATGGCATTGAGAACAGTAGAAATACCATGTTTGGATGGCAAAGAATACTGTACATTAACTATTTTGTGCCATCATCGAAACAGAAACTTACTCGTTTGCATGATAATGGAATGAAACTACTGTCGTATTGACAATATCTTTATCCGCGAGTATTTCATCGTTGGCCTTCACCTTTTTCGTTGATATTAACATCAGCTGTTCACCAACGCTAACGAAGAAAACAAATTACAATCACGAAATTTATTTGGTAGTGGACGTGTTATATATCTTACAATCTTAAATTTAATATCTTCAAACACTCATTAATAATTCATAAGTTTATTTTCAAATCATGTCAACCATAATATGTCACGTGAAGAGGCTTTATACCTGATAAAACTCATCTTCATTAGTATTCTTTTATAAAAGTCCATCCTAATTAGTATTCTTTATATAAAGAATACTAATGAGACGGCATCTATTGTAGTCGTGTTTGAAGCTATTCAAAACGCTTGTAGTCGTGTTTTATCGTATCTAAAATGCTCGTGCTGCGCACTCGCATTTTAAATAGGATAAAACACTCCTATACGCGTGTTTTAAATAGCACATAACTACCTCAAAATTCTTTGTCTCGCGAGATGCGATTGATGACTAATTTACCGCTAAAACTCGAGGGACGATTAGGAACTAATCATTCCACGGGATGATTAGTTCCTAATCGTCCTCATCTTTATACATAACTTCTTGTATTGATGTTCAATTAACTCACCAAAGATAACACTTCATATCATTTATTCACAAAGTTACCAAGGGTGGGTAGTAGCGAAGTAGTTGTAGTTCGCTACTGTAGCGAACTACAATCTTCAAGTAAGTAGCCAGTAGTTTTTGACTACTTTTTTAAAACAGTAGTTGTAGTTATAGCGAACTACATTTTGCCTAAAAGTAGCCAAGTAGTTGACTACTTTTCAAACAGCGAATCGCTATTCGCTACTTTTTAAAATATGTTAGCAACCGTTCATAGAATAGAATGATAGTAAATCACGGTTTGCTTAAAAGATTATTTTATACAATAAAGATTATTTTAGCGCAATGAAAAGTGGCACACCTGAACACTGTAGTGCTTACAAAAATGTTGCTTTGACCCTTTTTGTTTACTGTTGCTACTCGTAAGTCGATTTGTTGTAGGTTATACTACAACCTGAGCTAGTGGATGCTCCAAATACCATAAAACTAAAAAATATAGAGTAGCGAAATAGTTCGCTACATTTTTTATAGCGAACTACCTACCTACCCTTTAGCAGTAGTCAGTTGCGAACTACCCTTTGTTCAAAAGTAGCAGTAGTTGTAGCCGACTACATATTTTTGAAGTAGCTGTAGTTATAGCGAACTACAAAAATTTTGTAGTCAACCCACCCTTGAAAGTTACTGTTTACAGTCTGAACATTTGCTCCTTATTCAATCGAATGGAACCGTTTTATTGTCTCGGTAGCTATGATATTACAAAGTGATAGCCATGGCATTACGGTCGATTAGTGATGAAATGTCCCTCAAGCCTCGATCTGAATGCCATGCTGTTACGTATAATAATTGCGGGATAAGATCTCGGAGAGTATTAAACGATTCTATTCCAGTGGATTCATGTCGGGTAAACTAAAAAATTTCTTCATCGCGGTGAGACTAGAACCTGCGATCTTGCTAGTGCAATGCTATACTAAATGAGCTACGAGGTCAATTCAGATCTAATAAGTGATATTTCAGAATTGAGAACCGTTCCTTCAACATCATGCATAACAATGTTACCTCATTGGCTGTGCAGCTAAAGGTTTCTGTGTGTCATGTTTCGGTATGATGGTCATACGACAGATGGTGTAGTTGAATGTCTCTTTACCCTGTTGGAAGTTTTGGAAAAAAAATTCTAGTTAAACTAAAATAGGGAGTTTACAAACATAATATGTAGAGAGTGTTGGCAGTAACACTCGATCAATAAGAGATAATCTTACTGGACCTCTAGGAAGAACTGATAGAGTTAACTATCTAGTATAAATAAGGTTAGTTTAGTTTAGGTTTCCTTCTGTAGTAACACTGGATCAATAAATGATGATCCTTACTGGACCTCTAGGAAGAACAGTTTAGAACTGATAGAGCTATCCAGTATAAATAAAGTTAGTTTGGGTTTCCTACTGTAGTAACACTGGATCAATAAGATATGACTCTTACTGGACCTCTAGAAAGAACAGTTTAGAACAGATAGAACTATCCAGTATAAATAAAGTTAGTTTAGGTTTCCTCCTGTAGTAACACTGGATCAATAAGATGATCCTTACTGGACCTCTAGGAAGAACAGTTTAGAAATGAACTATCCAGTATAAGTAGAATTAGTTTAGTTAACTGTCTGCTAACCTGTGTATTTCCCTCCATGCTAACATTTCTATAACAAGAAGCTTTGGCTGTTGGATCTTTTTGACAAAAGCTGATGTTAAAATGATGGTAGTACTTCGTCCCTTTCGAGGTAAACAGCGCACTGGTCTTCACGCTACGAAATCTGGGAAAACACATTCGGATTAGTAAAGTAAATTCTTGAGATCCAGTGTAGGTAGTATTCTACAATAAGCTGTCGTGGTTTGTGTCTGAACTACCTGAAAAAGGTATCTCAAACGTGGTGGTCCAGTGTAGGTAGTATTCTACAATAAGTCGTCGTCCTTTGTCTCTGAACTACCTGAAAAAGATATCTCAAACGTGGTGGTCCAGTGTAGGTAGTATTCTACAATAAGCTGTCATGGTTTGTGTCTGAACTACTTGAAAAAGATATCTCAAACGTGGAGGTCAAGTGTAAGTAGGTTGTATTCTACAATAAGCTGCCGTGGTTTATGTCTGAACTCCCTGAAAAAGATATCTCAAATGTGGTGGTCCAGTGTAGGTAGTATTCCATAATAAACTGTCGTGGTTTGTGTCTAAACTACCTGAAAAAGAATCTATTCCTTTAAAACGTACCCTGCTATGGGTGTTAAATCATAAGATCTTCCTTTGCTGATCAATTTACAGTCCGAAACACACTCGGTTGATCCTTTGGCACTAAAATGAATAAATAATAAGTGAATGTTGTACAGACTTTGTCTGCCGCCACGCAATTATAATCTAACGCTGGGTGATTGGAGTTTTGATGACGCACTGGTTATGGCCATAACTTATGGGAAGGATAAATATCAAGATTTTGTTGGCATCCCAATCGATTGAATAATAGTTGAAGGCAAGGGTGGGTAGTAGCGAAGTAGTTGTAGTTCGCTACTGTAGCGAACTACAATTTTCAAGTAGCCGCCAGTAGTGTTTGACTACTTTATTAAAACAGTAGCTGTAGTTATAGCGAATTACATTTTGCCTAAAAGTAGCCAAGTAGTGGACTACTTTTCAAACAGCAAATCGCTATTCGCTACTTTTTAAGACTGTTAGCAACTTGATAGAATAGCATGATATCGAGACACGGTTTGCTTAAAATCAATACTTAATAGTCAATTTGCACTCCTGAGCACTGTAGTGATTACAAAAATGTTGCTTTGTGTTTACTGTTGCTACTCGTAAGTCGATTTGTTCTAGGTTACATTTCAGCCTGAGTTAGTAGATGCTCCAAATACAGTAAAACTAAAAAATATAGCGTAGCGAAATAGCGAAATAGTTCGCTACATTTTTTAAGCAGTAGCTGTAGTCAGTAGCGAACTACCTTTGTTCAAAAGTAGCAGTAGTTGTAGCTGACTACATATTTTTGAAGTAGCTGTAGTTACAGCGAACTACAAAAATTTTGTAGTCAACCCACCCTACTTGAAGGGTCTCATAGATGGAAATTATCAAGTGGAAATTTATATGCATTCATCTAAAAATGTAACCAGGAACAGTAGCGAAAAATACAACTTTAGGTCCCGGGCAGGACTCGAACCTGAGGTCATGCAGGAAGGGGTCTTTCATCAAGTGACTGGGGTTCAATTCCTGTAATATGCGGTTGTCTGATAATAATTCAACCTCAGGAAAATATGAGAAGCTAGAGTGCTACTGCTTTCAGTGGGCGATTCAAGCTATAGACTAAATTTTGATCAAGGCGAGAAGAACAAAATCCAAAACCACAGCTAGAAAGAGCGTCTTAGAATGAGTATAACTGCAAAGATTGGTTGCGAAATGTTGTAAAATGAAGAAAATATAGCCCTGTGAAATTCGCAAATTTTGTATACATTTGTATTACGCTTGGTAAAAATAACCACTGTCGGCTCAAAAATGGTTATTTTTCCCGCGCGTAATGCAAATATATACAAAATTTGCGAACTTTCACAGGGCTATATTTTCCTCATTTTACAACAATTCGTAACCAAACTTTGCAATTTTACTCATTTTAAGATGCTCTTCCAGCTACATGGTAATGGATTTCGTCCTTCTTGTCTAGACCAAAGGAATCATCCATTTGACAAGAAACTCCACGAAAAACAGTATAGTATAGAACTGATAGATCAGGGATTATCAGTCCTGTATAGGGACGTAGCGAAGCATCTGAAGTTGGGAGGGTGTCGGAGGATTTTACCTGAAATTTGAACTTCAATGTTAAAAATTTATCTGCGTGTAATAATTATAATAAAGCTTTTTGTGATTGATTTGCACAGTCACACTAAGTTTCGGAAGTAAAGGGGTCCTCAAGAACATTTTTACATTTTTGAAGTTCTAGGACTGTATTTCTGGCGTTTTCTAAAGCAAATTCACAAACGAATTGGACGTAAATTGACTGGTTATCATTTCACAAAAATAACGACTTTATTACGCAAATTTTACCTAAAAATGTCAAAATTTTAACTTGAATTTTATCTGATCACAGTTGGGGGAGGGGTTACACCCCCCACACCCCCCTCGGTCGTTTCGTCCCTGGTCCAGTATAAAGTTTGTTTAGTTTAGTCACTAACTTTCCCCAATGAAACAAAATTCAAATTTCTGTGTGTATATATGTAGAAGAGCTGCAAACCTGGTCAGATATTCTCCACAAGGAATACACGCGTTTTTCCCGTAAGGATCAGACACATTGAGATACGTCTCTACACAAATGAATTAGAGGAAGAAAAGTCATTATTACATTTAACATTGCTGCAGACACAACAGAACTTTATAAAAGACACTAAGGACCTGTTTATATGAAGGCGAGTTTCCCGGCAAGGCGAGTTACTCGCCCAAGCGAGACAAACAAGCGCTCTGTTAGTCTGTTTATATGGAATTGAGCTACACACGGGTCTGCAAACAAGTTGTTCCAAATCTGTTCACAAGCTGTCGACAAGTTGTGTTCGCACTGCTTGTTCCCAGTTGTTGTAACAAGTTTGGAACAAGCTGTTAACAACTTGGAACAAGCTTGATGGCATTATCAGACTTGTTTCAAGGTTGTTCTAACCAGTCTGATATAATCATGATATAACAAGAATGTTACAAGGTTGACGACACAAGGTTGTAACAATTCTGCTATATCACGACTGTATCGAACTTGTTCAAAAAACCTTGTAACAAGTCTGATAATAAGAATTTTTTTTTTATTATTTTTTTTTTTGTAACAAGTCTGATAATAAGAATTTTTTTTTTTTTCTGTTTTTTTCTTTCTGTTTTCATATTACTAGAATACTTTGGTATCGAAGGAACTAGATTCTGTTCCGAAATATCACTTACTCGAACCGTCCTGACCGCGTAGCTCAGTTGGAAGAGCATTGGGCTAGTATTCCAAAGGTCGTAGGTTCGAATCCCACCGTGGCCGGGCATATTTTTCAAGCTCGCCCGGTGTGGATATACACTCAGAGTAACACCACAAATATCAAGTCTGATAATATCAACAAGATTGTTACAAGTTGTTAACAGCATGTTCCAAACTTGTTGACAACTTGGGACAAGCAGTGCGAAGACGACTTGTTGACGGCTTGTTGACAGACTCGCTACAAGATGTGAGATTTTTACGTGTGTACTCGGCATTTGCCGCATGGTTGCCGAAATGGCGCCAAAACACAAAAAGGATTTAAGTCGTTTGAAACGTCAAAAAAACATTACAAAATATCGTCAAAATACAAGAATAAGCGTCGAGAAATTCGGGAAAACTTATCTATCGATTCGTATGTATTTTTGAGCTATTATATTTCAAATACATTGCAAATACATTCTATCTCGGGCGGCCGAGGGCGAAGTGTTTACATGGTAAAATATTCTGGAAAAACTCATTAATAATTCATGAGGAAAACACAAAGAAAAATCACGGGCGTGTCGTATCGTCATATGTCATATGTGATAGAGATTTCCCTTGATTTACATAAACTTTAACTTTGATTTTCTCGACTTATACAACGTATTTTTTGAAAATTACTTCGCCAATGAACTTACTAGATCGATCGTTTTTGAAGCAATTTAAAACTAGTGCGTGTTTTATCAGACCTAAAGATACTCGGCTTCGCCTCGTATCTTTTTATCTGATAAAACACTGCTGCTCATAAACAGTCACCCAGGATTTCTGTAAGTTTCTATAATAGCCGGGATCTCGCTGATGCCGAGTACTCGTCTTGCCGGGTAACTCGTCTCTATATAAACACAGGCACTATATAATTGACCATTTGCGTAATAGACTAAATTTTGAACTAAACAAGTCTAGACAAAAATTTCATCACAGCTTGAAGGAGCATCACAAAATTAGTAATATTCCAAAGTTTCGTTGCAAAATGTTGTAAAATGCGGAAAATATAGCCTTGCGAAATTTGCAATTTTCACTCATTTTAGATTACAAACGGGAAATTGACAGCCCCAAACTCTTCGAGGCTGTCAATTTCCGGTTTGTAATCTAAAATGACTGAAAATTGCAAATTTCGCAAGGCTATATTTTCCGCATTTTACAACATTTTGCAACGAAACTTTGGAATATTACTAATTGTGTGATGCTCTTTCAAGCTGTAATGAAATTTTTGTTGAGATCAAAATTTAGTCTATTACGCAAATGGTCAATTTAGGAAAAATAAAATAAAATGAAATGACAAGATACAGCCAGCAAACATACTTTTAGGACAAGGCTCGCATTTGGGTTTTCCATCTTTTTCTGAAGTAATTCGATTGCCTTTTGGACAAGGAATACAACTAATAAAAGAAATTTAAAATAATCATGTTCAGTTTATGTGTAATCGGTTGAATAACCGATGGTTGATTAATTAATGAAAGAGTGATTCAATAGTTGTTGATTAATTAATTATTATTGATTGATTGATTGATTAATTAAATAATAATTAATTAATCGATAAATTAATTAATAATTATTGATTAATTATAAATAATTAATTATGATAATTAATAATTATTAATAACGCCTTCCCGCCTGTTATAATTGCAGCTATAGATGAAATTTTGATCTAGACAAGAGGAGCGAAACCATTACCATAAAATGAGTAAAATCTTAAAATGAGTAAAATAGCAAAGTTTGGTTGCGAATTGTTGTAAAATGAGGAAAATATAGCCCTGTGAAGTTCGCAAATTTTGTATATATTTGCATTAACCATTTTTGAACCGAAAGTGGTTATTTTTACCGCGCCCAATACAAAAATTTTCGAACTTCATAGGGCTATAAGTTTTCTTCATTTCAAAACATTTCGCGAACAATCTTTGCAGTTTTACTCATTCTAAGATGCTCTTTCTAGCTGTGGTGATGGATTTCGTTCTTCTTGCCTTGATAAAAAAACCCATTGCACATCTCAAACAATTTACCCTTTGTCTTTCATTCCGACAGGACATTTCTTGCACCCTGCAGCGCCACCATCGACTGTCTTTGTTATTTTGATGAAATAAAATACCACTCTAGAATTAACAAAAATATGATACCATAAGATACCATGCTTTAAACGGTTCTACACAAGTAAAAACGCACAAGTTGTAACAAAACTGCAGCAGACTTGTATAGCAATGCTGTTCCAACAACTTGTCAACAGGATGTGTTCGCACTGCTTGTTCCCAGCTTGTTGACAAGTTATCAACGGCTCGTTGACAATTTGCTACAAGGTTGTTGAGAGATATACTATATACCGAGCCAAGGATTCAAGCTCGATTCCGATCTCGAATCTTTGGCACGGCAAATAGGTATCCTCGGTTGTTAAGCTCAACAGACTTATTACAAGTTGTTCCAATAACTTGTTATCGTTCTGCAATTCGACAATTTGTCAACAAGTTGTGAGTGACAACCTTGTAGCAACTTGATAAAATAACAGCATTGTTACAACTTGAGAAGCGTACACATAATACGGTTCTTTCGATAACCACGTCAAAAATCCTTCCCCGGCGTGGGAGATCTGCCCTGCCCTGATGAAATATGAGTCAATAGCCTTTCGTATTGATTTATACACGATACTTAATGGGGAGTTTAAGCTTCGCGTTTCCGGGAACGGCAAACGGCAGGTTTAAACTTTCTTCGCAAAATTTTCGTTAAACGTTTTCGTTTCATATTTTCTTTCTTGTGTCGAAAGAATAGTCAAGCATTGCAGTTTTAAAACAGCAAGTTCATTTATTCTTTATTGCCTGATACCGTAAAATTTTTCTTTGCCTGGCGTTTGCCGTATAACGCGAAGCTTAAAGCTGTATGTATCTCACAGATATAACATTGCACTATCACAGTACAAATACATACTTGTCATTTCTGTAATTAAAATGCCCTCCATCGTCATTGATTTCGTTTTCTTCGTAATTTCCATGTTTACCTTTCCTGAATACCCAGTAGAATCCCTCCGTGTGCCTTGCTGTCGCCACAAAACTAAATAGAGAACAAAAATACTTACTGGACAACGTATACCATGACATCCACATAATTATATATAATCCTCCTACATGCAGTGGTCACTACTACATTTCAACCCTATTTTTCCGGTTTGATTCCAGATTTAATTTTATAAGTGATAGAGCTAAATAAAGTTAGTTTAGTTCAGGTTTCCTCCTGTAGTAACACTGGATCAATAAGAGATGATTCTTATTGGACTTCTAGGAAGAACAGTTTAGAACTGATAGAGTTATCCAGTCTAAATAAAGTTAGTTTAGTTTAGGTTTCCTCCTGTAGTAGCACTGCATGGATCAATAAGAGATGATCCTTACTGGACCTCTAAGAAGAACAGTTTACAACTGATAGAGCTATCCAGTTGATAAATAAAGTTAGTTTAGTTTAGATTTCCTCCTGTAGTAACACTGGATCAATAAGAGATGATTCTTACTAGACCTCTAGGAAGAACAGTTTAGAACTGAACAGCTATCCAGTATAAATAAAGTTAGTTTAGTTTAGGTTTCCTCCTGTAGTAACACTGGATCAATAAGAGATGATCCTTACTGGACCTCTAGGGAGAACAGTTTAGAACTGATAGAGCTATCCAGTATAAATAAAGGTAGTTTAGTTTAGGTTTCCTCCTGTAGTAACATTGGATCAATAAGAGATGGGAACCTCTGCAAAGAACAATTTAGAACTGATAGAGCTAAGGATTAGCTGGATGAACAGCCAAAGTTCTCATCCAGTATAAATAAAGTTAGTTTAGTTTAGGTTTCCTCCTGTAGCAACACTGACTGGATCAGTTAGAGATGGGAACCTCTGCAAAGAACAGTTTAGAACTGATAGAGTTATCCAGTACACAGAAAGGTAGTTTAGTTTAGGTTTCCTACTGCAGTAACACTGGATCAAGAAGAGATGATCCTTACTAGACCTCTATACGAAGAACACTTTAGAGCTGATCGAGCTATCCAGTATAAATAAAGTCAGTTTAGTTCACATCTAGATAAAGTTAAGTTTAATATAGCGAATTAAAATAGCAAAAACAACATACGAGTATGTTCGTTTTGACTGTTCTCCGTGCCATTCTTTTATCTTTTCGTAACGACCACTTTCCACGCTCTTTTCGCTGTGTAACTATGAAACAATGGTTGCATATTATATCTTGGAGGAAACATTTTATCTGCAGCAAAATACACCCTAACACATATCATAGTCCTAACCTTAACCAAACGTAGCCCTAACTATATTCCTAACTATACAGGGTGTATCAAAAAAATATTATAATGTAGAATAATGAAAAAAATTTCTCAAACTCAAATTTTGTAACCAGGGGGGGTGTCTTTTCCAACAAACTAAAAATGGCTCGCGCACAAAATTTAAACGTTTTGAGTAAACATTTTGAGTTAATAGATGGAAACTTTGTCGGGTTTTTAATTACTGTACAAAATTTCAGACAATTTGGTTTAATTTAAGCGCTTTAACTATTCATTTTAATGTAAAAAATCAGCCTTTCGCATGCTTAATTAATGCCTTTACCTAATTTGCATATTGGTAACATATGCAAATTAGGCAAAGGCATTAATTAAGTATGCAAATAGCTGATTTTTAGGTGAATTTTTCACTTTGCGTGAATAGTTAAAGGCTTAAAAACTAAACCAAATTGTCTGAAATTTTGTACAGTAATTAAAATCCCGACAAATTTTCCATCTATTAACTCAAAATATGATTACAACTTATAAATTTTGTGCGCGAGCCATTTTTAGTTTGTTGGAAAAGACACCCCCCCCTGGTTCACAAAATTTGAGTTCAAGAAATTTTTTTCATTATTCTACATTATAAGTATCCAAAGAAGCTATATATATAATAAACCGGATACAAATAAGTGTTTTGCGAAATTGAGAGTAATTTCAAATCTGTTCAGTTTTTTTGATACACCCTGTAGTTATGGTTATGCCTTTGAATAATATCGGCATAACCATTCAACTTGGATGGTTATGGCGTTGAATATTATCGGCATAACCATTCAACTTGGATGGTAATGCCTTTGAATGTCATTGCCATTACCATTACCATAATACCATTCAACCTAATTCAAAAATTTAATCATAACCGTGGTTCAAGTTAATCATAACCATAGTTCACTTTAATCGAAAGGAATAAGCTCGGGGCCTCCAAAAGCGCGGGCAGATACCACTTATGCCATATGGTTAATTCGGCACTGGATGGACCTATTCCCTAATGAACAAAGTTTTGATCTAGACAAGTCCAGACAAAAATTTCATCAGAACTTGAAAGAGCATCACAAAATTAGTAATATTCCGAAGTTTCGTTGCGAAATGTTGTAAAATGTGGATAATATAGCCCTGCGAAGTTTGCCGTTTTTCAGTCATTTTGTATTGCGCGTGGGATATTGACACGGCTTTTTTCAGAAAGCGATACCAATTTCCCGTGCGTAATACAAAATGACTGAAAAACGGCAAACTTCGCAGGGCTATATTTTTATCCGCATTTTACAACATTTTGCAACGAAACTTCGGAATATTACTAATTTTGTGATGCTCTTTCAAGTTCTGATGAAATTTTTGTCTAGACTTGTTGAGATCAAATTTTTGGTTATTTATAGGTAAGAGGTCCATTGATTTATACGTCGCTCTTGTGCCGTACCTAATTCGGCAATAAAGTTCGGCACATGAAAAGTACGCCGTTTAAAACGCCGCCTCAAATATATACAACGTGATTCTGAAACGCTACCTGATAAAAGGTCAAATAACACGGCCCTTCACACTTTATTTCGAATTCAAAAGTTACTGTTCCCAACCCAGGATCAAGACTGCTGGTTTTGAAACCATCCGTTCCAAAAAACAATAACATTTTGGCGTCATCAGCGTGACCATATCCACTGTCGATAGAATTACCACGTGGCTGAAAACCATCGTCAGATGCACAGCCTCGTTCTAAAAATTTAACATTTTTTAACTCATGAAACGACAACGACACGGGCAGAATAAGCTATCAGTATAAATAAAGTTAGTTTAGGTTTCCTCCTGTAGTAACACTGGATCAATAAGAGATGATCCTTATTGGACCTCTAGGGAGACCAGTTTAGTACTGATAGAGCTATCAAGTATAAATAAAGTTAGTTTAGTTTAGGTTTCCTCCTGTAGTAACACTGGATAAATAAGAGATGATCCTTACTGGACCTCTAGGGAGAACAGTTTAGAACTGATAGAGCTATCTAGTATAAATAAAGTTAGTTTAGTTTAGGTTTC